TCTCTAGAAACAATAGAAGCAACCAGTTTCCTAACCAACTGACCTGCCAACAAGTCACGTTTAAATTTCGTAAACAAAGGAGTGTACAAGCTTATTAATATTATACGCTATATAAAAAGGCCAAAATACAGGTCTTAACTTTTATACTGCAAACTTTTATTCAGTACAACCTCAGTCTTTCGAGTTTGTTTTACAGACATCTTCAGGGATGTACAAAAATTTATAATAAAAACAGTCCGTGCAGGAACTGTCCGGAACTCCGACCTAGTTACTGTCACTGTTTATTGTTTGATTTTGTATTTTTGTAAGTAAAATTCTATTAACCGAATATACTAACTTATTAATTATGTGTAACAAATTTCCATAAACCGATTTTTTGAGTAGCTCGCTAAACTATTTTACTTTTCATGAAACTCAAAATATTTAATAACTGGAAATTCTTTTTGCGTATTTTTGTACCTGGAAGAAAACCAAGATGACAAACAGATTGCCAGCACAAACAACGACACATTATTTCCTTCTGTATATATATTGCTTGTAAGATTTAGTGTGCTTATATTAAAGTACAGTAAATTAATACAATTGCTAGTTTCCATTTTAAAAGCCCCCACCCCTTCTTTTTCTTTCAATGCGCTTTAAGCCCTGCTTCATAACCGAAGTCATAAATACAAATTTTCAAATATGTAGGGCGGCGTACGAATATATCTTAATTCTTTGCGGCTAAAATTAATACTTTGATTAATATAACGGGGAACGTTCAATTCTAAAGTAATGTTACACATTAAACCTTGCTTATTTGTGACATTAGAGTTCTTTGTTATGAAGTATTTTGAACACCAGAAATGCGGTAGTGCGAGAGTCTTAAGGTCCAGGATAATATTCCGCAGAACGACTACGCTGAGAAGCTAACTCCATGTATTAACACTAAACCTCGGTCCTAAGTGACACCACAGCAAATTCAATTACATAGAAGTTCATTAACCCTCTAAAATTCAGTGTTTCTATACATGAAGCCTGTTTCAGGATACTAAAATTCTCCAGTCTGTCCACAAGGTGTTCATGTGTCTTGTATGGTTCAATAAACAGCGACTTTTTTCTTAAATAACATTAACCGGTTGGTCTTCTTAGCGGAGAGGTAAAGTGTCCTGTGAGGTACGAGCTCAGTAGTTATAGATTATTCAGAAGACATTTGCTCCTCAAAGTGTCAAGGTAGATTCTGCAGCTTTCATGGCACGGTTATGCGGCATCTGCTTATGAATATGAGCTTAGTTTTGCTTCAGACACATCACACGAAGAGCTAAGGAAAATCTTCCGAAATGGTGGAAATACGCTCATATTTTTTAGTATTCCACGAAACATTTACCTTAAAAAATGCAGTATGGTTTTCGAAATTCATTTTTTTTCCTTGGCACTACAGCCCCAGTAGGCCTAGGCCTACCTCCATGAACTTCTCCGTTCACTTCGGTTTTTCTACATCTTACACAATCGGTAGGACTCCTTGGGCGGGTGATCAGCTCATCGCAAGTCCTCTGCCTGTACACAAACACAGAAAAACGCACACACACAAACTAAACATCCATTCCCTGAGCGGGATTCGAACCCACGATCCCGGTTTCCAAGCGAAGACAGTACATGCCTTAGACCGCTCGGCTACCGTGACCGGCTCGAAGATCAATTATTATACATTATTTCAGAATCATAAATTAAATGTTGGTAGTGTCGCTCACCCCTTCCATTTTCACGTGTTCAAAATGTTCTTGTTACAGATTACAGGCCATTAAAAATTCCGATGACACAAAACTCATTCCAATTTTCGTTAAAATCAGTTCCCAAGCGCAAAAGTTGAAATGGAGAACACAGACAGCATAGAAACGTCATAATTCTGGTTTATATTTTTTAAGAAAACAGAGTAGGGTGAAGATACCATAAATGTCTAGAGATGTTGCGTTATTCTTCTGCTTCAGACAGGCCTACAATATTTCACTCTTACCTGAAATTACTCTTTAAAATAATTAGCAGATTTTCATAAAACCTGATATTAATATTATGCCAGTGTAGACTACTACATGTGCCCACATGAGAACCAAGTTGATAGCCATGCGAAATAGAGGTACAAGCAACGGCAGCGACAGTTGATATTGGGCCTGTGTAACTTTTCTTTGGAGGATAGATACGAAAATATTTAATGAGCAGTTACGGACAGCCAATAAGGGGTTTTGGCTTGGGGCTGATAATTCCTCACTATAAAAGTAATTGTATTACGAAATGTTACAAAGTGTCTGGAACTGGACGGATTCTTTGAATAAACGACCTAAGCTAAGGAAAATGGGCATGAGATTTGTTACGTGGAATGTAAAAAGTCTGCCCAGGGCAAGTCCGCTCGAGGCAGTTGCGAAAGAAATATCAAAATATGTTACGTTTAATGAGAATACATGGCGTCAGACAGGGCAGGAATGGCACAGAGCCAGCAGGCGAATACGCTTAAACAAGATTAATACATAGTCTACATATATGTACAATTCTGTTAGCCAAATGCTATTTGCTTTTCGTCGGGGATTTACTTTGCCGTGTAGCCTCAATATGATTTTTTGAGTGTTACAAGAATAGGAGAGAGGAAGCTTGGCAAGAACTTCGATCAGAATTGCAGTCACATAACACGCAGGTCACTTTCACTTAACACGGTCTCCTTATCGCGGAATTCCCTACATTATAATTCTGAAAATAACAAGCGTTTATACATTACAGAGGTCATATTAACTAGCACAATTTCCTCCAGAAAATCATTCCCCCTTCACCAGTTTTAAAAAGAAAAATAAATATAGGTTTTTACACCATGATATTCAACAGATTAATAATACATTAAAATCGAATAATAATGAAGAAGAATTATAAATAAATGGAACCTTAAGAATAAAAGCGGTTTTCCTGGAAAGGAGTAGGCTATAGTATATAGATTTCAAAATATCAAAGCCGCAACTCTTCAACAAGGAGGTGACAAAACGGGACTGAATGAGATATTATTGCTACTACAAAACTTCGCGAATTATTATTAAAGTTATAGAAGCGCATTTGAACTCAATCTTCAGCGGTTCAATTGGACTTACCTTACGGCACTCCAGTTGAGAGGGACTGTTGTGCATCTCTCGCCCCACTGGCCTTGCACGACGGTAAGCAGCGTAAGCAGAGTGCGGACCAGTTGCGGTGGTAGCTTTTAGGAACTCTACTTTTGACATCAGTCACAAGAAATAAACTTCAGGGTTCACATCAAGACTGAAGTAATGCTTCTTTCACTACAGACTTAAGGTCACACGAATAAAAGTGATTTATTTACTTGGCAAACACAGAACATTCTCTCGAAACCTATTCTTGAAGTTAAATGACGGGGTATGTATTTCTATCTTTCTGTTCCCCATTAGGCCACTTGGTTTTTTCCGTTTGGGAATAACTTATGAAACAATGCAATATCCACAATTGTTTGTATCACGTTAGCTCTCCCAGCTCTCCTCTGTGGTAACAAAACTTGGACAATAAACTGAGAGACAAATTCAGATTCACAGCTGAGGAGAGCCGCAAAATATGCACGATAAAAATGCAAAAGGAAAAACACGATTTTGATAAACTAAACATTGAATCTGCACGGATCAGCATTTGGACTACATAAACAAATTGTTTTTTCAGTTTGACAGAATGCAGACATCCTCATATCAATTATGAAGTACAGACTGATTGTAAAAGGAGCACAAGGTTCATCGTTGAAGAGAATAAGAATTAAGTGATGCTGTTTCAGCTGCATGGTTTATGTATATTCCAACTGCAAGATGAGTTATGAATGAAGGTGTGGAAATTATGTAGACATTAAAAGTAGTTGCTTATTTTAACATATTATTCTAACATATTGCCGGTCAGACTGAGGAAAACCACAAATATCTTTCTTAAATTAACTGCACTGACACTACTGATGGAAATATATAACTTATGTATGTCCTTGGTGAGTAATTCTACTCTCCTTCCAAATTAATTTCCCAATATGAATACGCTATGCCGGCATTTGTAAAGGCAACTGTGTGATTAACAGCACGGAAAGGGGAGAGGGGAGGGGGCACGAGGAAATTCTGAACAAGAATTATTTAACAGGTGGAAGAAAAGAGAAAACAAAAGAGTCATTAGGCATAGTTTTAAAATATACATTTTCCAGCCGTGCTAAAATATAGCTAATTATCCAACTAAATAAGGCCATGTAAAGAATCTTCTTTAAAGGTTCATATTTACACAGCTGGTAGCTGAATTGCCTGATTTTATTGAACCAGAATCTTAATTATCGTGTTCACAAAATCCCACAATATGATACTACGTTGAACCAATTAAATTTCGTCGTCGTCCTTGTACTCTATTCCTCTAAGAACCATTTTAATATTATTCTTCAATTTATGGGTGCCGGGATAGCGTAGTAGGTATAGCGACTGGCTACGGCCTGGACTACCGAGGGGTCGGAGTTCGAGTCCCGGTAGGGTCAAGAATTCTATCTTCTTCACGTCGTCCACACAGGTTCTGGGTTCCACACAACCTCATATCCAAAGGGTACCGAGGGTTCTTTCCCCAGGGGCAAAGCGGCAGGGCCGTGAAGCTGACCACTCATCTCCTACTAGTACCGAGGTCAAGACAATGTGGATCTATACATCCACCCCCCATACGCCTTCATGGTGTAGTGCTTAATTAGTTAAGTACAGGGACAAATTTACCTTTACCTCCAATTTATATCTTGGTCAACCAATTGGTCTCTTCCCTTAGGGTTCCCAGATAAAATCTTTGTATGCATTTCTCAGTTCTGATAAGTACCAGCCTACTCATCTTCCATGATTTAATCACCCGGAGGACTGGGAATAGAGTATAGGCCCGTAACGTAAGCATTACTATGAATTACAGACTGGCTTCTCTGTATTCCCGAGATTAGGAATGATCTTTCTCTCACCTCACGCCCTATACACTCTTGTATTCAACAGGAGTGGTAGCCCAGATCAGCAGTTTCCTGGTGTACCTGACAAGCAACGTGACGGACTGGCGGACGCAGGCTGGCTTGAACGCCGCTCTCCCCATCATCGCTTTCCTTTACATAACGCAGGTCAGTGCACACAAACACACCGACAACAGTCGTGGTCCTTACGGGAGACAAGGGCTCCCAAATGATGCACCGTTATTCCCTGCCTCCCTACACCGTGAAATTCAGAGATACAGCTCAGTCCACGAAATCATTGGTTAGGGCTGAACGGCTGGTGGCTAAGTTCACAAAAATGGCAAAAACTTAACATCATCGCGTCCACACAGGCTCTGGTGTCCCCAAAGCCTCGTAGACAACTGATAATGGCGTCAAATTTTCCCAGGAAAAAAGTAAAGGGCCTGGTGAGTGAAGCTGATCTCTCATTCGAATCTACAGCCGAAATATAGAACCTGTCGAAATATAGTCCCATGCTCGCTGTTCAACACCATGGCGCTATTCTTGTAAGAAAATTTTACTAACACACATTTGGACCTTGAAGTACAGAGTTCTTTTTCGCCGTAAGATTCATATTCATAGAGCATCCAATAAAGATGTTAGAACTTAGAGGCTTAACAAAACGTCGTTACATAAGAAATCCATACCCAAGGCCGATTTGCTTATACACGCAAAAACCAACACTAACAACTATTTGCCGAATGCAGAGAGTATAAACATCAAGAGTCCTATCTTCTGGGATGTAACACTGTGCAGTGCGATGGAAGTAAAGCAGCGTCTTGCAATAACATGTCGCCTCCATCTGCGAGGTCGATTCGCTGCTTGTTACCTGCTTTATGCTGGTTTATTGCTTGGTTTATTCTCTGCCACTGAAGGTGGAGGCGACATGTTCCTCTGAAACGTCTATTGGCTTATAACGGAACTATATGACATAATATCCCAGAGGATAGAGTATTCATAACAATCGCTGTGATAACCTCAAATCCTACAATATGAACATACTCAGTCTGCCCCAGCAACCCTGAAACACTGCAATTCAGTCATCCTAAAGTCGAGGGAATGTTCTTAACTTCTACCAAGGAGTTGTCAAATCTCACTACACTCGAAATATCCAGAGACCTGCAATCCATGCAATAAATTTTGGTGTTTTTGATAACTTAAAGAAGTACATGTAGGATCATTCATTTTCTTTTCCTTTGTAAACATTCTATGTACCTAGATGGTATGGCAGACTTCTTGGTCGTGTTCCAGTATGGTGATGTAATCCAAAAGGCGTTTCCAATACAGGTTTACCTAAAGCACCATTCTTGAGGAATCTAAACGGTCATTGGACAAGGGCTTATTAGATCAAGGAAACCTGCCGATTTAATCACTAGAGAAGTACCTGTGGCAGACCTAAAACAAAGGAGGGCTATTCACCTTCTGAAATCCTCAAACCTGTTCTTTTTCCTCGATAGCAACACATCCTCTATATATGAAAGTGCACACACCAAGCACATTTAAGTACCAGAATCAGTTGCAATAGTGCAAATATTTCTGCAGACTGACTTCACCACTGATAGCAAATTGTACACTGACAACAATCTCTGTAGTTCACAGGAAAGTTACCTCCGTCCACTTAATCGTCACCACAGAAGCCTGGCAGTGTTCAATCTCATGAGCCAGTTCAGATCTGTTCCACTTCTGTCAGACATCCTCAAAATCTGTAACATATCAGCCACTAAGTTACGGCCAAGGTCGCGCCATAGCTCAAGCGGTTAGTCGCTGGCTTTCCACCATGGCGGCCGTGTCTTCTCAAGTGGGATTTGTGGTAGACAAAGTGGCGCTGGGGCGGGCTTTCTCCGAGTACTTCGGTTTCCCCTGCCAATATTCATTCCACCAAATTCTCCATCATCATAATCACTCGGGGCATGTACAATAGGCCAATCACCCCCCACTATGCGAAGAAAAAAATGGAAATGCCTCGTACCCACCCCTAAAGCTAGAAGAAACACCTTGTCCCTGTTCGCCACCCGCTTCTCCCTTCCCTTCTGTCAGCGCGGTTGCTGCTACACGAACACATACAGATGCATGCATACAGATATGTGTTATTCATCACGGTTTAATAGCGGTATAATGCACAAAACAATTTGATATATTATTATAGCTTCGTGTTGTGTTGTGTTTCCAACTGCATTTATTTCTGTCAGGACAACTTCTGTATAGATAAAATTTACGTTAATTATCTACTACATATTGCATCCACTCGCCCTTAATTAGACCCGCACATCCATTGCTATCCTCTTACACTGGCAAATGTTTACAGTGGGTACATTTTGTGTGGTTGGTTGTCCGTGTTAAAGTATTAAATTTGGAAATTGTTAATTACTTTAATTCTAAAGCCTCTTTATTACAAAAGTTCTATTCCTTTATATATATAATATTATCACTATGCGATGACAGGATGGTAAATAATGCAAATGACATGTGGTGTGTATATATACGTGGTGTGTTCAAAAAGTATCGAACCTTTGGTCGGCAGAAATACGCTTATTGATTTGGAGGTACAAAACTCTAATCCCCTTCAAAGTAGTCTCCTTGGTAATGCACACACTTCTCCCAGTCCTTCCGCCATTGTTGGAAACACTTCTGGAACGCGTCTTTTGGAATGGTGATCAGCCCGCCCGTCGCATTCCGCACGATGTCTTCTCTTGACTCAAATCGGGTTCCTTTCAGCGGAATTTTCAGCTTGGGAAATAGCCAAAAGTCACACGGAGCCATGTCGGGGCTTGGGGATGTTGTGTTTGGCGACGAAAGTCTGAATCAGATGCTCAGAATGGGCGGGTGCGTTATCATGATGGAGCTGCCAAGATTTTGCTGTCCACAGATCCGGTCGTTTGCGCCGCACAGCATCACGAAGGCGACGAAGGACCTCCTGGTAGTATTCCTTTGTGATGGTTTGGCCTTGTGGTGCGTACTCATGATGCACAACCCCACGGGAGTCGAAGAAAACGGCCAACATGACCTTCACACTACTGCGGACCTGCCGTGCTTTTTTTGACCTCGGGGATGTCGGATGTTTCCACTGTGACGTCTGCATCTTGGTTTCCGGGTCGTACCCATAAACCCACAACTCATCACCTGTGATCATGGTGTTCAGAAAGTTGGGGTTACTGTTTGCATTGTCCAGCATGTCCTGTGCGATTTTCAGACGGCGTTGCTTCTGCTCCATTGTTAGCAGTTTCGGTACGAATTTCACGGACACTCTCCTCATGCACAAATCCTCAGTCAAAATTGAATGTACCGATCCAATGCTTACCCCTATCTCGTTCGCAAGTTCTCGGACTGTGATACGACGGTCCTCCATGACCAAAGTCCGCACTTGCTCAATGACATTCTCATTTCGGCTTGTTGAGGGTCTGCCTGAACGCGGTTCGCTGTCCACTGATGTGCGGCCATCTTTGAAGCGGTTGTACCACTCCTTTATCCGTGAGTTGCTCATGGCATCGTCCCCGAAAGCCTGTTGAATCTTGCGAATGGTTTCCACTTGGGTATCGCCAAGCTTTTGGCAAAATTTGATGCAGTATCGCTGCTCATGTTGTTCCGTCATTTTACACCTTACTGAAATCCGACGAGCGCTCACTATACGTCCTCACTCATAAGCCAACTGCCAGCAACTGATGCTTTCTGCGGGCGGGAAAAAATTCACGACTGAGCATGAATGTCCCCTCCACATCTCCACCGAAGTGAGTCTCCCACGCTTCATTGGTTTACGCGGGAAAAAAGAAGGTTCGATATAGAATATTCCAATTTGTCTTTGAGAACGCAACGAAATTACAAAACCAACGACTTATTCGATGATATAAAACATCAATCTAAGAATATTATTCTTGTTTTATAATATAACTCCTGTTTTATATAATCTGATTTATTGTATTTTTTATATAATAATATTGTATCCAATTTTACTAGTACTGCAGTTCAGTGGTGTATATATGTTAGCCGTGTATTTGCCTGATGATGGCTATTGATAGCCGAAACTAGGCACTGATCTTGATATTTGTTGTGTTGTGACGGTTGTAATGAAGAGGTTGTATACTACCATATACTCATGAGACTATCACAAAAAATAAACGTTTTAATTTTCGGAGTACGTTTGTTTTAGGAAAAACTTGGACCTAGAACAAACACTCAGCTCATTTGGCATTGTTGTAGATGTGATCCACATTTTGAAGCAGTGTGTAGAAACAAGTGTTCATCTTGTATTTGTATTAACTTGTAGTACATTGTGTACAGATGCCGGAGACTCCAATGTGGCTACTGTCACATGGTCGGCATGATGAAGCCGAGAGGGCCTTATGTTGGCTTCGGGGCTGGGTGACGCCAGACCTCGTCAGAGAAGAGTTCAACCAGCTCGTCAAATATAACAAGGAAGCCAATAAAATAAGGCAACGGACCAGAATCACACACGGAAACGATGTGAGTGACCTGCCACAGGAGAGGGAAGACACATTTTGGATATATTTTTGAAATATTTTAGAATAACACAGAAGCCATGTGGCCCAGTCACTTGGTCTTATAAAGGTGTAGAGCAGGAGTAGGTAATTATTTTTACAAATGGTGCTATTTCATTCGTGGGCCAGAGAACCTCACAAGGAAGCAGAGTTCCATACTTGAATAGCTGCAAGTTATTCACACTGACTGAAAGTATTTTTCATGTACAAAGTTTATTCATTTCCTGAAATGAGTGCACGGAGCAACAATGCATAGGCAGCATTAGGTTTTGATTGAGTTACCATACAACTAGAAATACGAACTGCGGGAATCTGGCTCCTCCATCACAATAATGTATCTGCTCATACAGCATTGTCAATTAGACAATTCTTGGCCTGACCTCTCCCCTCCCGACCTTTTTCTATTCCCCAAACTCAAAATTACTCTCAAAGGAAGACAGAATCACTAATGCGATGACTGTCTAATATAAATGTCTATCAGTATTTCCCTGGAGTGACTAAGGACAAACAATCAAGGCAGCCGGTCTCTGAGCTGAGATTTGAAATCAGGACCTGCAGAATACAAAGTAGGAATGCTACTCCCTCCACCACTACGTTCTGTCTGTAAGAGATGACATGAAACATAACATCAATAATGATCCATTGATTCAAACACCGTATGTGTCCTCTGGTTATCCACTAAACCAAATCTGGTGTCAGCCCAAATCAATTACCTCATACCCAGCTCTAGACACACAGTACATGGAAGCAGTATGTGTATTGTGGATCTAAAAACTTGCATTTATATCAATATTTATATTCCTATCTTTTATTTTATTAAATTATGATATTGTGTTGTTTCTTTGTTTGCTTATTTATTTATCTATTATGTATCAATTACTCAGTCATTTAATATTTATTAATTAATTTACCAATTAACTTTATAATTGCAATTACCTTCCCTTCCCTAAAATAATTTATGATACAGCTGCAATTGATATCTGAACGTAACCATGGACCAAAGTGACTTATTACTAAGAGTCACTTCCAACCCACGGGCTGCAGTCTCCCACCTCTATAAAACTCTAAAGTTCATGAACTTATTCGCAAAATCCAGGTACTGTACTGTGTCCTGATAGAATTCAATCCAATAAACATTTCCTTGTGTAAGCACACTCAACAACAGTACGAATGTTTGTAGATCATTGCTAGGCAACAGTCAGTTCCTCAATGGGCTGGCGAGTAGCTATAACGTGACTGGCTTTCTATGGGGTCCGTGAAGTGACCATTGCTATGCAACAACAAAGTAAACACGCCTCTACAACAACAGAGGCTGTGTTTTCTGCGTGTACGGTGCAGAGACTGCATAACGACAGTTACAAATATAACAGGTTTCATGCCCGTGTGGTGGAGGGGTCGATTACCTCCACCGTGACCCTGCGAGTCGTAGGAGGCGATGAAAAGGGAAGTCTCAAATCTGAAACAGTAAAATTTTGTCGCAAGTCCCAATGGACTCGGACCCAAGAAAGACTGCACTCGAAAGTGTCAGCATCATATACAAACGACAGACACATCTTCTCATCAGAGAGGGCGCCCCACAAAAACAAGACTGTAACCGTCAAACAGTAATAAATATCTGGTCATGAGCCCCAGATGGGGCTTTACACCAAGACTTACTGACTGACTGACTGACCATCAGTCGCAATGTGACTTTGACTTTAACCTGTTTCAATTTTTAAGTGACAGTGACAAAGTGGAGAGTCCCGAAGGGTTCGGCAGTTGAGAATGGACAGCGAATTGGAACCAGGAGTACAGAAGAATACAGGAGGTTGTCCTGTTAGGATTTAGAGTGTGATTTGAATACTTTGTTTATGTGTAATACTTGGAGTGTGTAATCCAGTGACATTGTTATAGTTTCTGTGTTGGGATCCATTGCCAGGAGATGACAAGTGAAGACTGGGAATCCTAGTGCGTGTGACGTGGTGAACTGTAAATTGTGCAAATCAACGATAGCGCTCTATTTCCTGCATTTGAGTGTGATTAAGAGGTTGTAACCAAGGTGCTAATAAATCAAATCATCTGAACTAGAACCCATCATTCTCATCACGCGTACCACTCTACACATGACAATATCTTCAGAACTTATTGCTCTCAGATTCATTTTAATATTAACCTTTCAGCAAGGCCTCAGCTCCTCAAATAATCTCCTCTCTTTGTTCACAGAATCTTCTCCTATTTAGCAATGATATTCTAACTTCATCATAAAAGGCAAGTAGGTAGGGACTTGGAAAAGGGCAGTTGTGGCCTATTTGTAGGTACTAATCTAGTAATATCTAAGAAACAATTAGAATACACACAGCCAACACAGCTGGTAGGCTGGATCATATTCCAGTCTGAAATTCAGATTTTCTTGCCTTTTATGTTAACAGTCTAAATGCATTCGTGTTACTCGTTCTTGAAGCAACAGAATTTTAACGTCTTCCACGGACATTTTAAATCAATCAACGTCGTCTCATTGAACTGATGCACTAATGTATATTCAGAACTCTCATTAGCACAGAAACATAAAATGCCTCAATTTCCCCAGTTTATAGTGCACTCCCTTTCTCCAATTTTTTTTTTCCCTTGGCACTACAGCCCCAGTGGGCCTAAGCCTACCTCCATGAACTCCGTTCACTTCGGTTTTTCTAGATCTTACACATACGGTAGGACTCCTTGGGCGAGTGATCAGCTCGTCGCAAGGCCTCTACCTGTAGACAACCACAGAAAAACGCACACACACACAAATTAAACATCCATGCCCTGAGTGGGATTCGAACCCATGATCCCGGCTTCCGAGCAAGCGAAGACAGTGCATGCCTTAGACCGCTCGGCTAACATGACCGGCTCCCTTTCTCCAAATACCTCCTGCAAACTAGCTGCCTATATCTTCGAGCACAAACAAATCTATTGCGTAATTTACTAAAGTTAACAAAGAAAAATGTTGAGGAACTATGCTACAAGCCGGAAGGTCACGGTTTAAAGTCCAGATGAGGTCATTGGATTTTTTTCAATTGACCTACTCCTTCCAGCCGCACTATGGCCCTGGGGTCGACTCAGCCTCTAACAGAAATGAGTACCAGGAATTAATTAAATAATTTTCCTGGGGAGTAAAGTGCAGCCAGCGTGTAAGGCTTACAATTTTACCGCCAACTTTGAGCCGATTGTCTAGATCAGGCATGTTCAACTTCAAACAGGTTGTGATCGACTTTTTAATGTTAAAACTGCCAGTGATCTACCACCCCTTCCTATCGTCGTACCTCACTTTAAGCAAGAATATTGGTAAAAATAACATGACACATGATGTTTGTTATAAAAGCAACTAGTAACTGGGCTGTGTCTCTGATGTCTGTAGATTCATGCAGTTGGAGGGAGAAAGCAACACAGTTGGAAACATCTTTCAACAGCTGTTCAGTTATGTTTCCACACATCATTTCTATTCGCCACACAATGGTGTTTCTTGATAACTGAAGATCTTGAATAGTAGCCATGATGTCTTTCTAATTTTTAAATCCTTCAAAAAGGTTATCAGCTATTTCAAGAAAACACTCTTTTACAAATTCCCCTTCAGTGAAAGATTTGCATTTTTTAAGGATCAGGTTGCTGACCTTGAAGGATGATTTGGTTGCATTATTAGAAAGTGACCTTGGTTTTGCCATCAATTGTTGAGCAGCTAATTTCGATTTTAAGCCCTTTAAGCTAAGTTTACGAATTTCACTTTTGGGTGGAAAATCAGCATCACTCTTATTGCTATGGAGAGCATTCCAGATTAACCTTTTTGGCAGGGATACTGAGGCTTTGCATTTTCCACTATATTGAAGTAACTGTTTTATCTGACACACGCACACAGACGCTCTCGAAATTAACAAAATAACGTGAGCAGAGCACTTACTGTCCCTTTGATTACACTGAGCTCATCCCCAGACTCTATGTTTGTTTAATGCACAGCAAAGCGACAAATCTCCACTAACAGCTAATATATAATATGTGTCACTTCTTAGTTCAACGTACGGGGATTCACAGTTGACTGGAGGAGGGAACAAAGTGAATCACACATTCAAAACACACGTGGTTGACGACGAGTAATGAAATAAGAGTTCACGTGATAAGGATAGAGTAGGGACTTCCCCTCAGTTCACTTAACACAAGTGTAAAGCAATTTTCACGTAAGCTACATAAGAACAGAAAACTAGGAATGACTAATACGTATTTTCCCTTCAAAATCTGAATACAATCATATTATATTATAAGTCAGGCATGTCCAACACGTCGATCGTGGGACGATTTTTGGTCGATCTCATAGGCCTATAAGGAAATTATACGTGAAACGCACATAAATTCACTTATAATATAATATATTTATATTCGGATTTTGAAGGGAAAATACCTATTAAAGTAGTCTTTACTTCCAATGTATGTTGCTTTTACAACAAACATCATGTGTCATGTTATTTTTACCAATATTTTTGCTTTAAGCGAGGTACGATAGGAGAGGGGTGGTAGATCACTGGAAGTTTTGACACTAAAAAGTCGATCACAATCTGTTTGAAGTTGGACATGCCTGTTATAAGTGAATTTACATGCGTTTGACGTATAATTTCCTTATAGGCCTATGAGATCGACCAAAAATCGTCCTGCAATTGACCGGTCAATCACGATCGACGCGTTGGACATGCCTGGTCTAGATCATGTGGGACCCTCAACGTCTCACAACCTTATGGGCTTTCATAGCCTGTTACAAGGATAGCTTTACTTACTTTACTTTACTTTACTGAAGAAAAATGTCATTATTTGTTGAGATGTGCAGTGTTTTATTTAGGAGAAAACTGAAGGAATGAGAGGGAATTGCTTCCAGGAAATATTTGTTCTAATCCAGGTCGAGGTTTTAGTTTTCTTCCTTGCTCCTTCCAGGAATATGACTTTCTTGGACAATGCTGTGTCTTTTCAGTTTTACTTATTCATTTATGAGTATTTTACTTTCAGAATATTTGATTCTATTTGATTTGTTTCATTCTGGTCTGTCTATTGTTCTTAAAACAGGCTAGCACTGTTCTTTCCGTTTTATTCTAGTTCACTACACCAGTTCATTGAGAGTCATTAAATAGGTGAATAACAAATCAATATTATGGAAAATCAGATTACAATTTATGTTTGTTTACAATTATGTTTGTCTTCCTTTTCATGTTTTTCAATATCTGCCTGGTTGAATCTGAATTACAAACAGACAGACACAGTTCACACAACAAGCACGGTATGTGCTAATGAACATCATGAAAATAACGCATTTGAAGATGATGAATCAGTTCAGCATGGAACACTAAGCAGTCAAACTCTGAGCTGCAACCCAACACTTCATGTCTCGCAGCAGTAAGTATCAAAAACTTGAGAAATAATTGAGGAAGTTTAGAGTACTTACTAAATATATGAGAATATTTTTATGCTCTATAATTCTTACATCAGAATTCGTTCATGGCACCAAGGTACTGTAAGCATGCAAAGGTATAGATAAACCTGTTTTTTAACTAATAACAATATTAAGTGCCCCCAGATTTCTTCCCCTCTCTCTATAATTCCTTCTCTCATCCCTTTTTCTTCCCTTTGTTTGTTTGTTTTCTTCCTCCCTCTCTACTTTTATAAAATTATCTTTTCATTTAATTTAATTTAAATCCTTTTACTGATTAAGAACACAGTCACACAGAGACATGAACAATATGTATTATCATTGAAGGCTTATAACAAACATGAAAACACATTTACTGCACCATGAACCAAAAGGTCTATCATTGTAATGTACTTAAATTTTTAAAAAAGAAAGACATATATATTTGTTCCCTAGTGATATCCAAAGGAAAAATTGTGAACATAGAATGCTGAATGCAATCTGAAGTATCTACAGCTATAATTCAGTCAAGCAGAGTAGCTGGCTATCCAGTTAGCAACTGAGCAGTCATCTTTTCTCAGCATTTGAATCCAAATAATTGTGCATTGATTGTTGCCAGCAGTGATGAAGACATGCCTCATTCTTGCTTAAACAAGTGGATGGAGTTGCTAGAACCCCCCACACTGCGCCCTCTGTTCCTGGTCATCTCCTACTTCTTCTTGCTACAGCTTGGAGGGATATCCTCCATCAAGCCCTTCATGATACATGTGTTCCAAGAACTGGGTCTGGCAGATGCGGCATCATGGATCACTGTAAGTGTGCTGGATCACTACAACATGTGTGCTTGATCAATGAGTGTGTCTAACATCTTCAACTATAAAAGGAGCATGATACAAGACGGAATTCCAAAAGCCAATGGAAACATGTGGCTAAATACAAGAGGCAGAATAGATCTTAACAGTATGAGTTTTGTAACCTATATTAATAAAAAATTTGAATATCAGCCTGATTAGTATCTTTGTTCAAATTCTTCAGGTTTATATATTAAATCTTGAGTTCCTAACTTTCTTCATCCCTGTTGAGTCAATATATTTTCCTGAGCTCCTTGTTTTCAAACATTTGTATCTTAGGTCCTTTCTTTAGGAAGAAAGACTTTATTTCTCTTCCACATTGTACGTTTTTACATCTTCCATAAGAATTTTATGAAAAACCGAACAATTAACACCCTTAACTGGCTAATTCCATCGAGCAGGATTTTATTTGAAAAATATATTCTGAGGCAGCTGAATCCTGTCAACATCTTGACACCATGTTCCTCCAAGATTATTTCTAATTTTCATTCCAATTTTCTAGCCCAAATTTTGTATTCATGTCTCACTTCCCTTAAGCACATTTCATATTCCACCCATGTAATCATTCATGATTTAATGATAAATTAAATTTAAGACTTTAAAAACAAAAGGTTATAGTTCAGAACAGAAACTGTCATTTCTCCAAACTACTATATAAAATATTTTGATTAAAATTACCTATGCATATCTATTGTTCCAAAATATCTCCATACGACTCTCAAGAACTTTTCTTTCTCTTGATATCTTTAATCTCATAATATAAGAAAATTTGTGTTACCTCTGATCAGGTTGGGTCAGCAGTTGTTGGCATCCTGGGGTCTGGCTGCACAGTCTTCACAGTGCACTGGCTTGGAAAGAGGTTCCTGTCAATCATAGCCATGTTGGGTTGTGCAGTGGCCTGCCTCCTACTGGGGACATACAGTTATGTGGTGCTGCAGCCTGGTGGAGCCTCCCAGTATGCCACAAAGTGGCTGCCTCTTGTTCTTATCATCATTCTATATTTCTTCAATAGCATCATGGCTGAGATACCCTGGATACTCCTTGGTGAAGTATTCCCTTTCAGGTATAGTCTATAGGAAGTTGTCTGGTTGGATGATGAGATTAAATTTCACTAAAATCAACATACAGTTGCAAAATTATTAAAAGTTTATATTTTAATGAACCCTTCATCTCCCAGTAAATAACTTTATTCTCCTGCCCCTCATCCAGCAATCATTTACTTTATTCTAAAAATATTAATGAAATTATAAGGAACAGGTGTCCTAATTGGGTGTGTTGCTGTATAATAATATGTCACTTATTTGGTTATTAATTATTCAGTTTAATTAATTATTCTGATAATGAATTAGTGACTTGGTTAGTATAGTTAGTTAATTATTAAATTAGTCAGGTGCTTTGATAATGATGTTCCCTCAGGGATTGACTGTGGAAGCTTTATTGCTTCTTTTATATAGTATAAACGACTTGCCAAACATTATAATTAGTAAATCCAAACCTGTTCTTTTTGCAGGTGACACCAACAAAATTATCACGAATTCCAGCCATTTAGATTATGAAAATAACATTATTCAAATATTTAAAAACATGAATGATTGGTTTAAAGCTAATATATTGACACTAAACTTTAATAAAAAATGTTTTATAAATTTTTTACTAAGAACAGCTATGCAATGGATATGCATATTGACTACTGTAAAAATCAGATTGCTAGATTTACTAATACCAAATTATACCAAATATAATTAATTATCGACAATATGTTGTCATTGAAAGGACATGTTGACTGGTTTATGTCTAAATTAGGTTCAGCCTGTTATGAAATAAAGGCTGTTAAACCTTATACGTCACAGGAAACAATGATTTATTTCTCATATTTTCATTCTGTTATGACTTATAGTATAATTTTCTGGGGCATTTCTACCCAAAAATATTCATATTTTTAGGCTACAGAAAAGGGTAATAGAATTATCACTAATTCTAGAAGTAGAGACTCTTACAATAAATTGTTTAAGGAACTGAAAATTTTGCCCCTCCAACCACAGGTCATACTTCCTCTCTTGTTTTTTGTGGTTAAAAACAGAGAATATTTTAAATCTAACTCTGAGAGTCATAGTATTAATACAAGACACAATAACAATTTCCACTATCCAACACGTGTTTTAACAGTATTCTAAAAAGGAACATACTATTTTGGAATTAAGACTATTAATAATCTTCCTTCTAGCATAAATAACTTATCTCATGACACGAAAAATTTACATTTGCTTTACAAAGTTTTCTGCTTTTAAGTCATTGGAAGAATATTTTAACTTCAAAATTAATTAACAATCTTGGTCTAGTATATGCTGGACAGCTAGTAGTATATTTTTATGCTTGATTACTGTAGTCTTGTTTACTATTAGTATGTTGCATGCTTTTATATATATAGTTTATAACAGTTTAATGATTTACTCATTGTGATTCATTTCAGATAGCATCTAATTAAGTGTAATTAATTTGTATTTATGTAACTGATATGACTTGTCTTGTTGTCATCGATATTTCTATATCCACTGGTCTCCCAGCCACGTAATGATCCACGGAATATAAATAAATTAATGGATGGCTGAATTAATATTAATTAATAACCTGCCATCTGATCTCAAACGTCTTATGAATGAAAAGGCATGATTTAAAATAGCACTGAAAGGATACTTAAATACACATTCATTCTACTCTGTTGATGAATACCTATCGTCTAGAACAGCCGTGTCAAACATGTGGCCCCCACAGCCACAAAGTGCGGCCCCTCAACTTTTAGAGCTAATTGATATTAAAATTTTAGTAGAAATAATTTTCTAAAGACAATTTTCCAACAGACCAGAAGACAAGAAGCCTCATGCAGACATAAATTAGCAGGCTGCAGGAAAAGTGATTCTGAGAATTGCAGGAGGGTTTGTACAGCTAACGGTTTGTAAAGTTAGTGAAGGACAAACTATTGTATTTCAGAAGGTTACTGCACTAAAATCCACATAGCCTCACCACCCCAAGTATTTCCAAGAATCCCTTTTGGAGGCATAGTAAGAATGCAAGGAGGTGGCAACTGACAGACAAGTGCAAGGGATTTCTACCTTCAAAACTAGCTTGCAACCCCAAGCCATTGTCTAATGGGCTACTAGCAAACTTTCACTTTTATGACCACTGAGACAAGACCTACTAGGCCGGTAGTCTCTTGTACATTGTCATTCAGTTCATTTTCACATAGTGACAGGTGCTGATGTTACATTGTGATGAATGTATAAAGGTTATAATTAAACATTAAATTATCAACTACGAGTTTTCTTGTATATGTACAGTAACTTTTAAAGGGCAATGTCACTTTCAAAAAATTCAAGTAGCAAAAAAAAAAGAACTATTGAAAGTAAGCGCCATGTTTTACAAGGAAAATGGGAAATCGCTTATTTCTGTTGTGAAATAGAAGGTAAATTTACACGTTTGATTTGTGGGCAAAATATAAGTGTTCCACTTTAGGTAATTATATTGAAATTATTCCTAAATAATAAATAGTCTAATGTATATTTCTATTCTCCCTCGTTGGTGTCTCCACCTTATCGTGGTGAGGGGGTTTGAGTATGCCAAGGACCCTGAGAGCTATACCAGCGGTAGCGTAGCTACTGGCAGGGCCTCCCTTGCCGGACAGGTCAAAGGGTAGGCATCAGACGAAGAGAG